ACATTAATAGGTGTGCCAGTAAAACTTTTTATAAATTTAAAAAAGACAATACTAAAAAAGACAATACTAAAAAGTTGTTGAGAAATGAGCACATAGCCCTAAACACAAACAGATCCTTGTTCAAATAATAGGACTCACTTCTCAAGCCTTTCCAAGAAATGGGCTTCTGAAAATTGAGTGTGTAGCTTATAATTCTTTGGAAGATTCACTTCTTGTAATTGAGATAGCTGAGTAGATAAAATGCTAGGCATAGGAACTGCACAATGTAGGTTCACGCTTTTGCACTTTTAGTTTTTTTTTTGTTTTTGTGTAACAAAATTATTTTATTTTTTTACCCTATCATTAGCATTATTATTACTATTGTTATTTCTCATATTTAAAGCTTATAACACAAAAGATTAAAAAAATGTGATGCCATTTCCTGTTTAGTGAAACAAAGTCTCTGTACATTTAATGACATACAAGAGTTAAATCTACATAGTATCTGATTAGTTAAATCTGAACAGCATAACACACTTTGTTGTGCACATGACTTCTCAAATATTGGAATTGTTGTTATGCTGTGTAATTAATAATTTGGCTATTGTTAAGCAATAGCCAAATTATTAATTAATCAGACTAATTTTATGATTAGGTGATAAGTATTTAATTTTTCTGGAAGCAAAGATTGGATGGAGGTCTAGGCAATACATCCACAAGATAAACAGGAGTTATGGATTCAAGTCTCACTCTGTCTTTTCTTCCAGAATATTCTAAATTTAAAATTAAAAGTTAAATTTATTAGATAAATTGAATTGGGTTGTTGTTTATGTTATATTTTAACTACGTATCAGTACTTGATTGCTTCTTGTTCTCTTTAAGATTATGCTCACTTTCAGAAATAATTACTTATCCATATAGTTTATGCCTACATATGTGAAAAATGATCAAATTTGAAAAAGTTTTTAGTATATGTTTATTTGTCAACAATTTTTATGGATTGTCCTTTTTAAACTTAAATATTTTTAAAATTTAAATATATTTTTATAGCTATTTAAGTAATAATACTGAAGGAAAAGAAAAGTTTTATTACAAAAAGCAATAAGTATGAACAGTTTGTGAATTATCAGCTGTACTTTTGAAATTTTATATAGTTTCCATATGAATAATATATTTTGATTTTATGTAATTTATTTTATTTCAGATATTTGATTGTAATTTTCAGTCAAGAATGATAAAATATACACATTTTGGATCACCTCTGTTAAAACAGGACATTGTCAAATTTTCAGCATATTTGTTTCAAGAAAATGCAACTCTCTCTGAAAGGTTTTCAGTTGTCTTTAATATTTTGAATTTACCTTATAATGTGACACAAACTATAAATCCACTTACTGTAAAAGAATTTTTTGGTTTGTCAAATCTAATTGATGATAATGTTCTTAAATTTAAGTATAGTAAAAGCAATGGTGCTGTCTGTAAAGCAAGATTTACCAGTTTTCAAAGTAAACGTCCTGCACATGGTCAAATAGTTGTTGGTACAGATAAAAGACCTATTGATGTTATTAAAAGAAGATGTGATGAATTTTTAAAATTAGGTTTGAGATATGAACATTTTAAACCTCCTTCTCCAAATATTGATTACATTATTATTGTTGTTGAAGTTAGTGATCCTTTATTAAACAATGGTGAACCTTATATAGAATGGATACATCTTCCAGTTATAATAGAACCAGGATTTCCAAATTTAAAACCAAAAGCTTCGTTTTCTAGTATGTATCTGATGGATGTTGATCAATTTATTTTAACAACCATTACTCCAGCTGTACTTTCTGGGTTAGATGGTGAAACATCTTCAGAATTATTAATATTTAATATTTCTAAACCCTTGGATCCATCTAATGGTACTATTGTGCATTTATCTGATCATACTAAACCTATCACATCATTTTTGCAAGCAGATGTTAATAATTTTGAAATTGCTTTTAAACCACCTATAAGATCATTTAATGATAGAGAAATGTTTGAAGTTGGATTTAACATTTTTGATATGGATTATGCTGCCAGTGATCTTGTCACGTTACATATTGCTGTACGAGCTGCGGTTACTTCTGCACCTCGTGTTTCAATAAATACTGGTTTAGTTCTGTTGGAAGGTCAGTCTCGTTGTATTCTTCCAGAAAATTTAGAAATTGTTGACAGTGATAATATTGATGATGTTAAAATGTTTATAACTGGAGGTTTGCTTCATGGTAAACTTGAAATTGATGGAGTTCCAGGCATTGTAATCACACAAAAAGATCTTAAAGAAAAAAAAGTAATTTATTATCATGATGATAGTGATACAACTAAAGATAGTATCCATTTAAGAATTTTTGATGGAACACATTCTACACACACAAAATTTCCAATTACTATTATACCTAGAGATGATAACATTCCAGCGCTTATTATGAATGTTGGATTAAAGGTTGAAGAAGGACGAACAGTTAAAATATCTTCAGATTTTCTGTCAGCACATGATCAAGATACAAGTGATGATTTTCTCATATTTATATTGACAAAGCCACCAAAAGCAGGTACAATATGGAAAATGTTTCTTTGGGAAACCACTGGTAATGAAGTTACTCAATTCACTCAAAGAGATATTAATAAAGGTGTTATATATTATCATCATTTTGGAAATGAGGTAATTTTTTTTAATATATAAATTTAATATATATTAGAAGTATGAACATTTTATATTCTATATTTTATTGTTCCAGGTATTTATTGATGAATTTGAAGTAATGCTTCAAGATATGAACGACCCTCCAAATAAATCACCACCACATAAAGTTTCAGTAGTAATAAAACCAATTGGAGATGATCCACCCAAAAAATCTCCTAAATGTTCACTTTCTCTTGAAATACCAGAAGTTCAAATAGGAATTATTACAAAAGCAATGTTACATTATCAAGACAGTGATTCCAAAGATCATGAAATAGTTTACTTAATAACAAATTCTCCAAAGTTTATAGGATCTTATGCTAAATCAGGTATTTGAATTATATAAATAAATTAAATAAATACACTACACTATTTAATTATATTTCTTGTAAATTACATTAATTAAGCAAGAATACAGTATTGTTAATGAATATTATCTAATAATTTAAAATGTTAAAATTATCAGTTTAAAAATGTTGTTTAGACTTCTATACTATCATGAGCATGGAGGAGCTTGACCCTAACCATTGGAGGGCACTTTATCATATTTTACATAAGGAAGTAAAATATCTAGTTATGTCATTTGGAATGAGTGTTTCATAAAAACAGTGTTTCCTCTTATTCTTAAGATGAATTGTGTTTAATGGAGATATTCAAAACTACATCCATGATAAATCAATAAAATTATACAAAAAACAAACAACAAATTAACTTCCAAAAATGTTTTTCTGTGTATGTTCTTTGGAAATTAGCATCAAGTTGCTATTGAGAACAAATCATACAGGAACACTCCTTTTGATGGAAAAAGGAGATTTATTTTCTATAATTTACAATAGATATTCATTACAGGCTCTATGCCTCTTTATATATATGAAAATAAGACCTCTTTAGTCCTTATTTTCATATATAAATTGGTAAAACTAAAAATAATTATAATAATTTCCATCAAAAGGAGCATTCCTGTATGATTTGTTCTCAATAGCAACTTTAAGTTCCAAAGAATATACAACTAATTGTGAGAACAGCAAGCAATCAAGTACTTTATTTGTCTATATAAGAAGTTCTTAGATCCAAAGTATTGAAAAATTTAATAATATATCTAACTATTGTTTACATTAAAAAATTCTACAGATGTAGTAAATATACAAATATAAACATTCGTTAACCAGCCAAACAATTGTCAGATTATAACAGGCCAAATTACTTGACTTTAATTATTGAATAGTAACATTATTATAGTCTGATGCAGTAAATTAAATTACACAAATTAAGTTGATATGGAGAATAATTGAGTGAATAAATATAATAATTAATAAAAATTATTTTAATTAGGATTGTTGAGAGCTTGTATGGGGTCTGGGAGTCCTTTTACCTGTTTGCAGATTCCTTTAGTAATTTTTGTTGTTTCTTTCCAACAGATGAAATACAGGTATCCCCTTGTAATATGATAGTTACGTTCTGAAAACATGCCATGTTATGCAAATCTGTGCTATACAAAACTAAGGACTAATGCAAAACATTGGGTTAGGTTCCAAAAGTTAGCAAAAATATACTGTTCTTTTTTGTTATTAAGGCAAATGTGTTTATGAAAGCAATCAATACTTAACTAACAATCACAATTAAAACTATTGTATGACACATTAACATTAATTTTAGTTAAACTAGGGCACTTTTTTTCAAAGTATCATTTTCATCTGAGCTTTTTTGTTGATCTTGATCAGAAATATCAGCAAAATTTTCATTTCTTTTATTTTTATCAAAATGTTTTATAGATGACAAATTAAAATAAAAATATGTTATTGATTTAAAATTTGTTCTAGAGGGTTGCATTTGTTCAGTTGAGTACCAAGAGATTTTTTCCCCCAGAATTTGTGTTTGAATATTGGATTGTTCAAGTTGGGAACATCAAATTCTGAGATACCACTGTATTTCATTTGTCATTTTTACAATAAAGTAACATTTGTAGCTAAGTAATACCTGCAGTTAAAAAAGTTTAATAGCATTTACCTAAAAATGTTTAAATAAATTTTACTAAATACAAAGATTAATCTATAAAAAAAAAATTAAGTGACAGTCTTAAGGGCTAAAGTCTGAAAGCAACAATGATAGGAAAGTTAATGCAATTTTTTTCTTCTTTGTGCTATCAATTTTCATTAAAGTAAACCTGACAAAAAGCACAAAATAATTTGAAAATTTTAATATTCCATTATTAAATTTTCAATTATTAAAAATTCATTAAAAATCATTATTAAAAATTCCAAATTAAATTCCATGGGCAAATTTGAGACAACACACATACTTACTCAAATAAAAAAAAAAAAAAAATTAAATAACAAAGTTTACATTTAAAAATTGTGAAATTTTCTGTGGAGGATTTCCAAAACCATATTAGAATGAAACCAGAAATTGTGTTGTACAGGGGAGCAACCCTAATTTTCAAACCATGTTAGAGCAAAACTGTGTAGTAGAAATACTGTGTTGTACAAGGGATATCTGTATATAGAATGTTTCTTTATTAATAAAAAGCAGTCTTAAAGATTTTATTTTGTTAGTAAGAACAACAATAATTTTATAGCAATATGAACTACTCTGGGCCCATAAGTTTTCTCCTGGCCCACGGAAAACTTCCCATCTCTCCTCTCAATAGCCCTCATTTTAACTTATATTAATTTTCATTGCCATATTTTTTAAATTAACTGTTTTTTTTTTCAATCCATTTTTATTACAGGAACAGGTAAAATAATTTCATTAGCAGATCATTTAGTATCAGCTAAAGATGCAAAAATTCCAGCTATTCATTCGTTTACTCAAGAAGAAGTTAATCATCACAAAATTGGTTACATGCCACCAATAGAAGACATAGGACCTTATCCATTATACTTACAATTTGTTTTTACAGTTACTGATAAGCAGAGCAATGCTATAAATAGCCAATTATTCAATATAACTCTTCTTCCAGTAAATAATCAGGTAATATTAAATTTCTGAAAGTATCATATTTTTGTTTAAATTAATTTTAATGTAGAAATATTATTGCAATTTTATTAGACAATTAGAGAAACAAGCTAATATTTAATTGAAATAATGCATATTTCAATGAAACTGTATAAACTTCCAATTTCATTACTTAGATTATTATAACAAATTAAATTTTGTCATTTGAAGGATGCTTCCAAATTTCTGTACCCATAGTTCTGTCAATTTTGTTTCTGAACTTAGATTGTTTCATAAAAATGCACATCTCATCAACTTTTACAGCCATTTAAATTTATGGTATGTCAAAGTGAAACATTAATACCCTCTATATTTATTTATTTATAAAAAAAAAATCATATATTTTTAATTCTCTAGCAGAGTTATTTTTATAAAAATGTTCAAATAAGAGTTTTCTCCAACAGATTTATATTGTTAGAGAGTTTTTATATCAGGAAGTAGAAATTAAATTTTATTTTATTACTTCATATTTGTAGGGTAAAACAGTAACAAATAATAAAATATCAGCTTGTTTCTTTTTGTAAAGGAAAATATTTTCATATATCAGTGAAAAGATGACATAAATTTATACAAAAGGAACATATACATGACTTATTTTAAATAGAATGTGCACTGTTTTAATTATTATTTTTTAACATTGTTCTGGAATCCTGTTGTTATGTATAGTTTGAACCTGATGCAGACTAATTAAATTAGCTAAAAACAATTTTTTTAAAATTAAATGCTGGATTGAAAAGGTTTTCTGATTATGTAATTATAGTCAGCCTATTTCTTATTTATAAATTTAACTAATCCAAATATTGTTGGATTTTTTTAATAGTCTGCAATTTTTAAATTAATTGTTTTTGTAATTTGGAGTTAGAGTTTAAGGTAATGCTGTGAACTCAAATCAAATTTAATAATTAGAAAAAATTTAATTTCATAAATTAATTTAGAAGAAACTTTTAACATATAAGCGTTAAATTACAAATAAATGTCGCTAAATCAACAATTGTCCCATTAGAAAATATGTCGGGTGGTCGCACCCATTATATTGGCGCCACAACCAGAATGTTATGTTATCGTATTTTAGAACACCAATATTCCATCAGGGAAGGCAAGAGTGAAACAGAACTCGCTAGAATGGTGTTACAACACCAACATACCCTGTTGTGGGGTGATGTGGCCATACTAAGACATTGTAATAACAGAAATCTTGTGTATATTTGGGAAGCCCTCCTTACCAACATGTTAAAGCCCTGCAACACCCCCACACTTGATTTGCCCCCTCTGTGGATCAATTTGTATAACTATCTAAAACAACGTATCTAGCTCCCCAATTTGGAGGCGGCTAACACATGCGCATCATAATCGCGCGTATTTTCGTTTAAAAGTCGTATTATGTTCTATCGTTGCTTGTATTCCAAAACGTTAATTCGCTTGGAATGATTTGTTTTTTGTATTCAAAAAAGGATTTTAAATGTTTTAACAACCTGATGAAGACGAAAATAATTATCGTCGAAAGCACTTGTTGATTTAGCGACATTTATTTGTAATTTTACGCTTATATGTTAAAAGTTTCTTTTAATTTAGAAATGATGACTTCTGTAGTTCTATGGTAATTTAAAATCCCATATACCATATTTTCGCATATATAACTTACTATGGCATATAATCCTGCAGAAAATTACTAGAATGAAAATAAAACCTTTGTTTAACACTCCTTGCCTATGGAACAGAGTTTGCTCCATATGTGCAAGTTTGTACAGGAAATCCTTGTTAATTCAAACTCTGACAGCTCAAAAACTCATTAGTTTGTAACCGTACTTTTGTCCCAGCTGGAGATATATGGATTTACATGTTAAGAAATTTGGTTAGTTCAAATACAGCTACTTTGTAATTTGAAGTGAAAAGTCTGTCTGAACTGTCATATGGCTATGTTAACTCATTCATTTAGATTGAAATGCCTCCATGCTATACAAGAATAATAGACCCAGAACATCTGTAATCTGTCAAAGCAAAGTCAATATGACTGCTTTTACAGTAACATGTTTTTGGCTGTCACCTTACATATGGACTACACCTTTTTTTTTTATTTCACAAAATATGGCTGGGTTTTGGGATTAAGAGATTGGGCTATAAGTAGCAGATTGAAATATTTGTAGGACTCTAGACTAATACATTTAGGCAGCTTACTACTTTTTGGGACACTTTAAAAATAATTTGGCTATATTTTTAGGAATTCTGCTTCACTTTAAAAAAAAAACTATTTGGCAACCTGTGAGGTTCTCACCAGATATGTGCTGTTTACCTGCAGTTTATTTATATTATTATTATTATTATCGCCATCATCATCATCAATTATTAATTAACGAAAATAGTGTTCTGTATAAGTACCCATATTCAATTTACTTAATAAATTATATCAGTTACATAGCATTTGGCATATTATATAGAAATATGTGAATCTCGGATAATTCAAAATTTGATAATTAGAAATTGTGAATATTTCATCTGCTGAATTTCAAATTAATGAAGATTTCCTGTAATTGAAGTTTAGAATCTCCTTTTAAATTATCTTTTAAAAACAGATAATTCATAAATAATCTGTATGAAAATATGAAATATCTGATAGTATAAAGTGAAATTAGTACATTTTTCAGAATTTTCAAAAACAGATAGAATTAATTTATAGTAATAGTGTATTTATTATAAATACTGAATAAAATTATTTAATATTAAATAATTTTTTAATTGGTTAATTTAAAATTTCAAGAATATTTCTTTGTTTCTATCAATAGCCTATAAAAATCAGAAAAGTTTTCTTATTAATCAATCATGTAAATTTATCATACACTCTAAAAAATATACAGAAAAACCTCTAATCTCAAATCCTCTTTCTTAAATCTTTCCTTAAGTTAAACTGAATTGTCAATTCCAGTGTTAAGTTTCAAAATGACCCTTTGAACTTTTGCTGGGGATAGTGCAAAAGAAGCACACAAAACATCTTTTGATGAACAAAAATGATTTTAATAAAACAAACCATCACTACTAGACCCCAAGATATCAGCCAATCTAGTAAGGTACAAATTGAATTCACACGTCCCAACAGCCATAGACTTTTTGTCTATAACTAATTAAAACAAAAACACCCAAAGATCAAATTAAACTAAATTACAATAGTAGGACTAATAATAATCACATTACAATTATTTTTAAAACTCCTAAACTAAATATACAAACAGTATCTTGCCGGTAAGTAGCTGAATACTTCAAGCTTATCTCAGCTTTATAGATCCTTGAGCTTTAGCTGAAGCTCTGTAAGTCTCCTTGCACAAATCTTTCTCTTGGCCCAATGCCACCCTCACTCAAACTCAGGGATGTCTTCCATAGTTTGTCCACCTTTGTCCTCACAGGTTCATCTAGCTTTCGTCTTCATCTAAAGACGGCCATACACATTAAGTTAATCCTTTGAGGATTAACCATGCATGCCTGACCTTGAGTAATTCCTGGTAGTGTGTGGGGGAAATTTAACAAATTTGCCGAACTGTACTGACCACCGGAGTAGAATCGAAAAACCATTTGATTTTCCTAAACAGTGTGAGACTGCACAGGCCAACCTTAACGTGTGTGCTGTCGTTTCGTTCAGTTGTGAGACTGCTGAGTAGTTAGAACAATGTTTCATGAATGTTTGGAAGAATTATTTTCTATAACCTTGTTAACTTTTATTATTTATAACCTAAAAAATTAATTTTTCAGGTTATAAATTATTTTCAAATCAAAAATTTCTTGAGTAAATTAAAATTATAAATAATTTTAATATTTAGAAAACTTCTCAATTCATTTCTTCCATTTTCATAAAACATCTTGATACTCTATATCATTTTCTTTTACATTTTAAAAAATTTATTGTTTTAATATCCAAGTAAATTAAAACATGACAACTTAAAATAAGACAAAGTTTAATAAATTCTTTTTAATTATTAAATTATAAAATTAATTTGCGATAATAATGTTTACAATTTGTACTAATATCGGATGTGGTTGAGAATTATTAATATATATTCGTCTATAAAATTTAATCCATGAATTTTTTTGGTAGTAAAATCGACTTGCCATTGATCTTTCGCTGATAATTGATGCTTTTTAACAGAATCTATAGCCCAAGATTTCTCTTGAAAAATTAATTTTGTGATCTGAAATAATTCCATTAAAAAATTATTCATATGAAAAATTAATTTTGTGATTAGTGCTACCCAAACCAATACTAGTACAGTAGAGCATCGATTATCCGACCCCCGATTAACTGACCGTTCTAGTTGGCAAATTTCAAATGTCCACTAGTGATGTGGCGTTACAATATTTGGGTATGTCTTGGCTACTTTAATATTATTTTTGTTAAATTTTTGTGTGTTTTAGCTGGCAACACTGGCTCGGCCATGAAAGGGAGGTCAGTATTTAAATGAGACTTAATTTTCTAATTATGAGTGGTTGTTTGTTTTGTGAGCAATAAAATAATTTAAAAATAATTTTTAACGATACAATAGCGACGATTATTATTTTAAAAAATTTGTTATGATTAACATCAATGAAAATTCAACGCGAAGTAGGTTAATAGCGATATACTAATTACATGGGATATACTAATATACTATACTAATAATGTATTTTTTTCATTCTTTTCGGTTATCCGATTTTTTCAGTTAACTGACTAACCCGAGTCCCCAATTGAGTCGTATAATCGATGCTCTACTGTACTACTATTTACACCATAGACTTCTATGCATACTTTTTCCTGCGAGTTTTAATAGAATTTGTTGCCAATAAACATCCAAGAACATCCAGTATGTCATCATCAGATGCCATGACTGACTGACTGACTGAGAGACAATGGCGTAGTGAACATAACTGGCGCCCGGGGCACAACACTATATTGGCGCTCCCCTCCCCTCCAGAAACAAATCTTGTTTGTCTTGGAGATCATTTGGCGCCCTGTGCGAGTGACGCCCGGGGCATGTGCCCTACTTGCCCCACCCTAGCTAAGCCTCTGCTGAGAGATTTTCTTCTTCATGTGTGGGCGATAGGAAATTCTGAAGTTCCTCAAGGTCAGGCAGTCTCAAAGGATTAACTTAACGTGTATGGCTGCCTTAAGACTCAACCCAAAGTGCTTTTCTTGTTCAAGCTCCTCTGGTCAGACAATGGGTATTTCCTTCCCATTGTTCAGACCAGTTTCAATCAGCAGGGGTCCTTACTTCAACACTGAACAATAGAGTTGGTCTGGACATGATTACAAACAACGGCATAATGTTGGACAAAGGATGGAAAAAGCATATGAAATGGGGTGGGCAGAGAAGACCAAAAAAAAAACATGGCAGACTGCCACACCAGCAAACACCCAATAGAATATTACATATTTTTTTACTACTGAAGTCAAACAAATTTCATGTATCTGAACATTGTTTTCTCCTTAAGTTGAACTAATCAGTCTATTAAGTTTTGCAAATCCTTAGTTAAGTGATTTTAATATACAGTAGAGCATCGATTATCCAACTCAATTGGGGACTGGGGTTGGTTGGATAAGTGAAAAAACGGATAACCGAAAAATATGAAAAAATACATTATTAGTATAGTATATTAGTATATCGCTATTAATCTACTTCGCGTTGAATTTTCATTGATGTTAAGCCTAACAAAAATTTTTTTAAAACAATAATCGTCGCTATTGTATCGTTAAAAATTAGAAAATTAAGCCTCATTTAAATACTGGTTCCTTTTCATGGTCGAGCCATGTTGCCAGCTAAAACATGTAAAAATACTATTAAAGTAGCCAAGACATAGCCAAATATTGTAGCGCCATTATCACTAGAGGACATTTGAATTTGCCGACTAGAACAGTCAGTTAACCGATGTGATGGATAATTAATGCTCTACTCTAGTTGGATAAACAAGCCAATGACACGAGAGTTGCCAATTTAGCAAAAAACTGGTAAATTAAGTTTTCCTGTGGCATTATCAAATGGCTTAAGTTATTTTCTCCACTTGGTGGAAATATTAGTGATATTTAAGTCACAGCAAACAGAGGCAATTATTTTAGTGTTTAGTTCTTTTTAATTTCCATTAGAGAATACTGATTTTTCTCACAGTTCATGATTCTATTTAGAGCAGAGTTCTTTCAGGTTGTTAAACTAAGAAATGCTGTTGAGAGTATTGCTAAACTTGTTTTCCTTAAGTATTGCAAATAGTGATCCTCATAGCAGTCTCACTGGTTTGTGGTTAAATTTGCAGTGCTTGTTAAAATCTTTCACATTAATAAAGATCTGTTCATGAAACACCTACATTTTTCTTTAGATATTTTTTTTATAAATACTGTATGAAATGTGTAATACAAAACATGATTTTTGAATACCTTTAGCATGAAAAAGTGATATACCTAAATTTATGATGATTGTTATATTGTTTTAATAATGATTCAAATAAATATCATTGACTTAAATATATCATAGAATTACATCTCTTATTAGTACTTTATTAGTACATTCCTTATTAGGCTTTGTACTTTGTGTCTACATTAAAATTTTCCATTTTTTACATATCTCCATATATAAAATTCTTCATAACTCAAATCAATCAGTTTTAGATCCTTTCAAATTTAAGATTTGGAGGGACCTAATAGCAAATAAAATAATAAAGTGATAAAAATACAATTTAAAATGTATGGAGTAAAACATTTTATTAACTTTAAAAATATTTCTAAAAAGTATCAATTCATTGAAGAGATACAAATAATTTAAAACAAAGAGTATTTTAATCATTTAAGCATATTTAACAGAGTAAATTTTATTTTATTAAGCAAATAAAAATGTTGATGATTGATAACAATTTAATCAATTAAATTTTAGTTTTAATTTGGTTTCTTCATTGCTACAGTTTAATAAATCCATTTAAGCTTAGCAAATTTTGAGTTTGTTCTATTTGATAACCTTAAATGATTGTGAGGTTTGCCAATTGGGTGAAAAGTGTCACAACACTTGAGTGGTCAAAACAGTCGTGTGGGCATGGAAAGACTCACGGAGACAGGTTTATCATTTAAAACCATGTAATAAATAAATAAATTTTCTTACAACTATTCTTATAATGAGGTGCAATGCCTATCCAAAGGTGGGAAACAAGTCTGTTCAAAAAAACTCCAAATGTTCTGATGATCATTTCATTTCTTCTGGCAAAGATGATGTGGAGAGTGATGGCCCCAGGGCGCATAGCACAACTTGCAGAGATGACCTCTGATGATCAGGTGTATCTGGGCGAATCTTGATGGGATGGAATAGCGAAAACGAATCCTAGGGTGTTGAACAAGCCTTCGTTGTTGAAGGACAGGAGCAAAAAATCCAGGAGAGGAGCACTATGAACCAAGAACTTTCTGTCCTTGAAATGTGCAGTTTTATAAGTTTTTCCCTTAAAGCCACCTTTTCATTGGTCCCGACTCATCACTTGGTGACAATTCGAAACCGTTGGAGGGCACAGAAGAAGTCAATTTCGCGAATAAATACGATTCCTCTCCTGCCATGTTTCCCTTGACTTTAGTCTTTTCTATTGTTTAAATAATTCAAAAAAGCTTCCATTGTTTAATTGAGATCTTTAATTTCTCAATTGATAGTCTCTATTTGGACCTCTACGTTGACTTCCTTCCGGGTCCTCACATGATTAAGTTGTTTTTCAACTTGATTTATATGTATATCTGACAATGAACATTAAAAACATTTTTAAAATTAATAAAATTTGCAGTCCTATATTTTCAAACGTGTTATTTATTACTTTACTATTAAAATTAAATTGTTTATAAAAGTTATTCATTAATTATTATCATCATTACTGCACATTACACTTCTGAAAATATTTTTTCTACATTATGCCAATGGAAATAATTTCAACAAATTTTACTTAATATTTTTACTAAAAGAATTTATTATTTCTTAGGCACCTCAGCTTCATATTGGAGAATTACTAGTTGATGAAGGCTCTTCAACTCTTATTTCCACCAATGAGATTTCTGTTTATGATCCAGACACATTAACATCAGAATTACAAATAAGTTTATTTACTGTTCCTTTACATGGTTCATTACGTCGAAGTGGGCAACCTCTTAGAGTTGGTGATCTTTTATCATTAGATGATATTTTAATGCTTCTTTTAGAGTAAGTGTTTTTTTTATGTGTTAATATTAATTACATAGTAAGGATATATAACAATTTATTTGATTTTTAAATACTTTATACTTATTGGAAAATTGGAAACATTAAGGTTATTTAAAGATTTGGTTACAGTAATTAATTACCATAATACCAAATTATGAGAAATAATTATGTTTAATTTAATTATTTTTCATAGTCCTATATTAATCTTAGATTTCAATTTAATTTTTATTTATGCAATTATCTTAGAAGATCATTGTATTAAATGTCTTTTAATAATCTATCACCTATATTTTTGGATAAAACAATTAATAACATAAATATTTATTAATAGTTTTTATGATAAAAAAAATAAAATATATAATTTTGAATTCATTTAATATATTTTAAAATTTTCATTATCTTACACATACAGCAATACAGATAAAACTGAATTTACTCCAATTAAATTTATCTTTTTCATTTATTGTCATTTTTATAATAGTAATGTCATGAAAATCAGATATTCAAAGTATTTTGTAAAAACAACAATGAAGTAAGATGTAGTCATTATGAATCTGACACATCATATAACTCATAATCACATCTTTATCATTAAAATAATCATCCTTGGTTACTAAATAAGTGCATTTGATTTTATTGTTTTTTAAAGATCTGCTACTCTCAATAATAATAATAGCACCATAACTAGTTTTTCATGTGCTTTGTATGAGATTTTATTTTTTGCTTTCCCTTTTTTAGAAAAAAAAATATTTTAAAAAATACAATAAAAATAGGCAGTTATTTTTAATATTAATCAAAAATGTTATGGATCAATACACACTGCAGCAAAATTTAAAATTTGAAAAATTAAAATACAATACGTTACTGATCATTTTTTGACTCTTCATTTCAAGGCCGTTCTTTGTCCTGACCATATGCCTATGCACCCATTGAACTTGTCTAGTTACAGCACTGTTAATTATAAACCTTATATAATGAATTTAAAACAGTATCATTTGATAAATAAGTATCTACAAAAAATATTCACTAATCCACTAGTTTCAATGAAATAAAAACTTTTCCAAAGAAATGTTATGTTTTTTTACTTTTGTTATCAAAAATTATCTGGTAGCTCTAGATTAAACTTAATGCTAAAGAAAACTTGCTTAAGGAAGTCCAATTTACTATCTGTACTAGTTTTCTGATGTAAAATGACTGCCAGCTGGAGACCAAGATGGTTTAAAGTGTCAGCCTACAGCTCTCAAAGATCTGAGATCAAATCTGATCAAGCAGTTCCACAACATTTTGAAGGATGATTTGTCTTGTATATATTGAATTCTGTCCCACACCATCTGGCTGTCTCATTTTGGCCCTGGCTGCACTCATGATGGCCTGAAAAAAACCCCTTTAGTGCCTGCAGAACAGAATCAAAAAAAGAGGAAAAAAATTATATTGACTAGATAGTTATTATTACATGCCTAATCAATGTTGATATAGCCATATCATACAAATGTTATTGAATTAGATTTGAATTCTTTTTAGAAATTTTAAAAAAACTTTTTAAACAGATGAATAATGTTTTCTTTTTTTTAAAAAAAAAAAAGTGTTTACACACAACTCTGTAAGAAGAATTGGCAACATTATATTTTGGAACAGCTGGTAACATACTTTAAGACTGTCAGTATAATGAATCTTTTAATCCTAATAATTATAAACAGAAGAAATCTACACAATTCTATGAATTGTAATTACACAATGGACCATTTATCCTATATTGGATTTTAACTGATCTAAATGAGGTTAATGTTTTAGATGTGCAGAAAGATTCTCCAAGCCAAATGCTGAGATACTAGTTAAAAATATAAGTAGAGTTATGTAACACACTAAAAAACTAGCAAAAATTATAAATCATTTACTTAATCATTTCATCTATATACAATGGACATCTTCAGGTTCAATTATATGAATATAAAATCGAATGTTAATATAAAAGCTGGAAAAGAATTAATTTAAAAAAAAGTTTGAAATGTGATAACACATGCACATGACTATTAAAGTGTTGTAGTTGCTGCTGGTTAGGAATCTTTAATAATGTTCTCCATGTGGATGAGATAATCCTTTTCTTTGTAAATAATAAATTTCCTTATAATGCTGTTTCCTTTCCTTTTGGAAAGCTTTATATAGATCTTGAGTTTTTCAAGATACCTTAGCATGTATGGGTCCCTAGCATAGTGCAGGAGGTGTGTCCACTTCTATTTTACCAAGGTGTAAGCAGCAAGGGCAGTGCAAGGAAATTGCTTTATAAGGTTGTAATTGTTTTCTTTAATTAATCCTTGCCCTGAGGCATCTAGCCATAGATCCATGTATTCAAATGAGCAGTGCAGTCTGTGGTCTTGCACAGGTATACTATACACACCTGGTAGGATGCTTTTTTTGGTTTGGTCTTTTTTATTTCTACGCATTAAGAAGATCATAGGAGTTCTTTTATAAGCAATTCTTTTAGCAGGTTATTTCTCTGTAAACAGAGTGAATGGCCTTATTGTATGCAATCACTAGAAAAGGCCTGTTGTCAGAGGATGATTGCTTGGCCATAATATTGTGTCATGGAAGTAGTTCTTTAATTTAGGCTTGTGGCCACACTTCAGCTAATTCCATGATATATCCTAGCTCCTCCTCTCTGTCCCTTGGTTATGCACTTAACTGCATAACCAAGTGCATAAACATTCTATCTACTGGGGTCTTAAATGCTGTTGTTTATGGATGAAAACATTTAAGTAAAGGATTTATATTTATGATTTTGCTGGTTTTTAGTGTGTTGCATAATTCTACTTACAGATTCTCCAAGATTTTATATTATAAAGCTTGTTCTGTTATTCCTATATAATATATTTTTTAGTCTTGTTTTAAAGGTATTTTAAAATAAATTCAAGTTGCATATAATTGTTAGGACTAAAAGATTGTTATAGATCAATGAAAATTTCTGTTTTATATATACAGTGGGAAAATGATTATTTGAACTTGATGGGATCAGGTCTCTTTTGATAAATGAAATTTCAGATAATCCAGAAACTTCTTTGGTTTTGTATTTTATGTACAGTACATCAAGTATATTACAATATTTACAGTTTATGAAATTTTATACTCAAACACTGAGCATTTAAAATTTCATTCACTGTAGTGTAATACACTTGATATATTTGGAAGTAAATTAATTACTCAAAATCTAATGTAATGTCATACATATATACAGTAGAGCATTGATTATCCGAATACCGATCAACCAAAACATTGGTTAACTGAAAGCATTCCAGTTGGCAAATTCAAATTTCCACTAGTGCTGTGGTGCTGCAATATTTAGCTATGTCTTGGGCTACTCCAATATTATTTTTGTTGGTGCACGTGTTTTAGCTGGCAGCACTGGTGCGACCATGAGAGGGTACTTAAGGACACACCAGTATTTGAACAAGTCTTTTTTCCCCATTGTGTGTGGTGCTTTTCTGAAGACTGTGTTGGGATGTGTGTTGTGCTGAATCAGAATGGTTTTTTATACTAGATTAACTTCCGAAATATAATTTTTTTTTGTTTTTATATTTTTCAATATATTTATTTTCTTTGTGCAAAATAAATAAAAAATAATTTTTAACGATACAATAGCCACAATTATTATTTTAAAAAAAATTTTTGTTAGGCTTAACATCAACAAAAATTCAACACGAAGCAACACACAACGGAGAAAAATTTCAACATGAGATAGGTTAATATATTTTTTCATACATGATCAGTTATCCAAACAACTCCAGTCCTGAATTGTTTCGATAATCAATGCTTTACTGTATATGTAACTAGTTATGCAATCAACAGATGATGTAGTAATTCCCAGTTTGGTCCTTATGTAATTATACATTGTGTAGTGTAATTACATAAAGACTAATTTTATTTTCATTTTATTTTTGAAAACCATTTTGCATAATTTGGAGTTTTGAATAATCAAGTTTCTACTGTTATAGTTTTATCAATAGACTATTTTTTTTATTCTTATATAAATACTGAAACATGCTAAACTTTTTATCAATGATCAATAGCAATATAATATAATCTTTAGCAATATGATCACAATATAATATAATCAATAGCAATATAATCTTTGACACTTTAAGAAGTCATATACCATATATTTGCACAGATAAGATGACCTTCAGATAAGACAAGGTATAAATTTTTGTCAAAGTTTTATAGTTTTAGCATATATCTGTTCTATTAGATGACCCCCAAACTATGAATTTAGTTTAGATCAGCAATCATCATCTGGATAATAATACTGTATAGCATATACAGAATTATGTCCTATTCGTAATTTTTTGAATAAACAAATTTTATTATTTTCTTGCATCTGGCGGCACTGCCTTGCCATTGTTGCAAACATTTCCACTGATTCGGGCATTTGGGTAATGATCTTGACTATTCACAAAAACATCATATGGGCTATTCTATTTCGTGGACATACCCTACTCTCTACTAGTAAATAATTACGGTTTTTCCGTTTTTTTATGATTTTAATTTATATACATTTCAATCTAATTTTTTTTTTGTATCTGTCCTATAAGACAACCCCAGATTTTGGGGGGTCTTTTTTTTTATGATTCAACTATTGTCTTGTNCCTACTCTCTACTAGTAAATAATTACGGTTTTTCCGTTTTTTTATGATTTTAATTTATATACATTTCAATCTAATTTTTTTTTTGTATCTGTCCTATAAGACAACCCCAGATTTTGGGGGGTCTTTTTTTTTATGATTCAACTATTGTCTTATCTGCGCAAATATACAGTAATTAAAAAATTAGACATTTTGATGATAATTAAAATTTTATCAAGAAGTATCATCATGTTGTTTTTAAAAAGTTAATGAAAATATAGTGGAAAGAAATCAAGTTCAAAGTCTTACCAAAGTGTTTGTGGCTTGAAACATGAAAGCTGTAATGTTTTATCTTTGACTTTCATCTTGTTTTTATTAATTATCGTAAAAGCATATTCAACACTGAAAGATTTAGTGCAAGACAAGTTGAAGTGAATCTTTCAGATTAAGAAATTGTAGATGAATTGTGAATTATAGGAACAGCTACACTAAAAGCAAATTAAATAATTTACTTTTGTACATTTATATATAATGTATATACATATATATTATTATATGTATATTTAAATATATAAATTCATATTGATGTAATGACATAAGAACTTTGAATAGTAATATATATATATATATTTATTGTAGATGTTTTTATTATTGTTTTATAGATATTTATTTTTTTTATCTCAGATTTAATAATTAAAAACATTTTATTTTTTCATTATGATCATGAGACTAATTATAACTTTTATATATATCATAATAAGAAAATTTGTTAAACTGATATTTATGAACATTAATAAAAAACTTGTTTTATAGTTAAGGCCAAATATCAAATTAATTAAATCTAAAAGAAATCAAATTGCTTTTTTAGATATGTTCATGATGGATCTGAATCTCATCAGGATAGTTTTAACATAGGTGTAAATGATGGAATTCACTTTGTTTCTGGAGAAATCAACATTAAAGTAGAACCTATTGATGATGAAACTCCAGTGTGGAAGAGAGGACTTTTGCAAGAAATAAAAACAGAAGAAGGAGGACAAGTTCAAATAACATCTGAGGTTTTTACTTAAATTATTTTAAATCAATTTGTGAATTAATATCTATATAATCATTACATACAGTAGAACCTCAACTTAATGGACTTCAGATTTAATGAACAAAAAATTTCTGTTCTAAAGGAAAAATTTATAACCTTTTCCTTTCTCGGCTCTGTAATATATAACAGAGGGGAAAGTTTGGCAAGCTGTCAAAAAGTGGCCCCTCAAGATTTTATATTTTTGGACTCAGGACTTTGAAATGTCAAAATACAAAATAATTTAGGGTTTTTTTCTGTATGTATGGATGTTTGTGTTGGGGGGAGCATGATTTTGTTCTCTCTCTTTGAAACTTAATAACTTCTGTACTTTTTGTTGAAAATTTCAGAAATTTTGCAGGGAGGTTTGTGTATTGGGGGATTGACACTTATTAAATATTGGTGGTTAAAGGTTGATGGGGTGGGGCAATAGAGGGGATCATTTGTCATATAATAGGGTTGGATTTAATGAAGACTTGTTATTAGCATTTACAGTTTTCTGTAAATCATCCCTACCCTCAAATATAAGTTTTAATTTTTTAAAAAGTAAAGTTGTGTTTAATTAGTTTCTCCTACATTTGGCCATATTGTCTTAAGTGTTAAAAAAAAATTGAATCAAAAGTTATATTTATTTTATTTATTTATACAAGAGCTGTACCAAAACTAATGCAAAAAGTGGACATAATGTTTTTATGATATGGTTTTTATGTGTAATGTTTGATGGTACAATAACTCTTCCTGAATATAAGCTTCTGATTGGTATTATCAATTAATTTGCAATAAATAATTATGAACCTCATTGGCTTTTCCATTATAGTTACAGTTTCATCACAACCTTTTCGATTTTTTATTCAATCAATGCAAAATTTCCCAAAATGCATTTTGGTTTGTTCAAAAGCCCTCCTACCTGGTAACTTATATATAAATTACCTAGCAGCTGAGGAGGGATTTTGAACAGGTCAAAATGCATTCCGGAAAATTTTGTGTTGATTGAATAAAAAATCAAAAAGGTGTATGATGAATCTGTAATTATAATGGAAAAGTCAATGAGGTTTGTAGTTATTTATTGCAAATTAGTAACTCTTCCTTTATACAAAAGTATTCAATATAGTCTTCATTACAAGCAATGCATTTGTTTCATTATTGAACTCAATTCTGAAATCCTCTATGAGAAAAATCAGATGTGTGCTGTTGTACCCATTTTTCATAGCCATTTTCATCTCATCTGTGTCATCAAATCCTTGTGCCTGAACACCATCCTTTATTGAATTGAACTAGATCTGGCACCCTCTGAATTCCACTTATTCAGTCCAATGAAAAAATAGTCTTCAGGGACAATGATTTGATGACACAAAGTAAATATGGCTATGAAGAAGTGAGTACAACAGTGCACACCTGATTTTTTTCAGAGAGGACTCCAGAGTCCAATGATCGCGTAATGGATATCGTGTAATATAGTAATGGAGACTACATTGATTAGTATAGTATCTTTGTATAGAGGAAGAGTTACTCTCCAACAAGTGGAATTTGAATGATCTATGTCATTCAAATTCCACTTGTTGGAGAGTAAATTAAGATTTTAAAGTGTACCACTTTAAAATCTTATTATTATATAANTTCAAATTCCACTTGTTGGAGAGTAAATTAAGATTTTAAAGTGTACCACTTTAAAATCTTGGAAATGGAATAAGAATTCAAATTATTTGTTTGCCTGATGATATAATGTATTAATTGTGAATAAAATCTTATAAACCACAGTGTATCTTTTGATTCAATTTTGTGATTTTCTTAACTCTGAAAAGAGTTTATGTTTCATAGATTAATTATCTTGGTGTGGGTCCCATTTTATGTTTAAAATAATTTTTTGTTTGTATATTTATTATTCATATTTGCATTATTAAATTTATAAATTACAGCAGATATTATAAAATAAGGATATGTATTTTTTTAAATCTTAAATAAGTAGTATACATGTTAATAATTGAAATATATTATTAACTTTATATTTTAATTTAGGTTCTTGCTGCAACAGATGTAGATACAGGTGATACACTATTACATTTTATTTTGACCGAAGTTCCTGCTTATGGAATAATACTTGTTGATGATAGAATGGTTTCTCGATTTACACAGTTGGATGTGATGAAAGGAAAGGTTAGTATTAAATTTTGGTTTTAAAATATTAATAAAGTTTTACTTCTGAATAATGGTTATTATTTTAAACATAAAAAAAGTAAAGCTATATTTAGAACATCTTTTGTTACATTTAGACTAAATTTCTTTTATAAAAGTTGAAAGTAACTTTTATAGCTTAAGTTTGAAATAATTTAATACAGGGCACAAAATATATCATTATATTATTTTAGTAAATTTACAGCATATAAAAATGATTTGCTGGAATGTATAATGTCATTAACATTATTATTTTAAAAAATATTTTATCAAAAATAAATCTGTAATAAGGTGGTATAGCTAGTTGTAAAATAATTTACAGATCTAGGGGTCACACTGCATAGTGCCAAAATTGCCACTTGGTAATATTTTTATTAAAATGGCAATAAAAATTTAATACTGGCAATAGCAAGTGGCAATAAAATCCTAGTCTGCTTGTTTCAACATTCATGAAATTGAATCACAAATCACACTTCAGGAAAAACAGCAAAATGCCAAGCTTCCATACAGTGGGAGTCCTGTGCCCCAAACTAGCAATTTCATGACATCACACAGCAAGTTCAGAAGGAAAAGTAGGATGTGACATCAAGAACTGAAGGCAGTTTTGTGCAATACCGCCCAGAATTTCCAGATAGGGATATTTTATAGACTGACAGAAATTTTGGGAAATTTTTTGGGATGACTTTTTTCACTTTAATCTTTTTTCAGTAGACTAAAACAAAAATTTTGACATGACAGAACCTGTGAAATACTGTTTAAACATTGTGATCAAATGTGTTATTCAGAATTATTCATTAAAAAATTATTCAAAAATGATTCCTATTGTTAATAAGGAGAGGACCAGACATTTAGGTCTCCGATTTGAACAAAACTTGATGAGCACATAGCCCTAAACACAAACAGCTCATCATCCAAATAATAAAACCCACTTCTCAAGCATTTTCAAAAGTTGGGCCTCTGAAAATTTAGTGTTTAGTGAGTCTTTAGAAGTTTCAAGTCCCAGAATGGTGATAGCCGAGTGAATAAGATGCTAAGCACTAGAGTTAGATGATGTAGGTTTGAACCTTCAGAGTTTTGCTTTACTATAGTGTAACTAAATTAATGTAATTTTATGTGTAACTTTACTGTAGTTAATTTTATGTGTAACTTAATTATTATTTCTCATGTCTAAACCATATAAAACAAAAGATTAAAAATTGTGACGTCATTTCTTGTTTAACAAAAACAAGCTTCTGTAGATTTATTGTCTTGTTGTTAAATAAAACTTTTATTTCTTCACATTTATTTTCACATATTTTACATCTACATAGTTGATCTATGAACTAATCTAAACTAACTTTAGAGACATTTTGGCTCTTATATTTGTTGCTGTTATTTCTAGATTTTAGATGTTGGTGAATCATATTTTTATGTCAAAAAGTGATAGAGAACATAAATATAGGAAAGTGTTGAAACATCACCAAAGAAGGAAAAGTATTTTTGTCAAATTAATTCAAAAATATCTAACTATTGAGGAAAAGAGATAAATAGTTACATATAATTTTTAAACCAGAACATAATTACATTTTATATCAGACAGAAAATTTAAAAATAGGATTTCTAAACTGGAAACAGTAGATTGATAATTTTGTTTCTATTCATATTTTGTACATATAAAACTAAAAAAATTAGTTCATGATGGTATTAGGCTTTATTTCATGCTTCCACTGAATTATAAAAATCATAGCTTATTTAATGATAATTTGGATTGTTCTTGTCTTGCTATTTTATAAATAAAAAGCTTCTTTTATTCTCTGTGTGCTTGGTTCAAATGTTAATTTATTTATTGTCCAATTTATTTAATCATCTGCACTCAACTGGCTTCAACAAAAAGCAACATAAATATCTTTTACATTTGCATTTTGGAGTTTATCTATAATTATTCTGCAACAAAAATTAGAAACAAAATTAACTTAACCTTCAAATTATTTTTTAAGAGTGTTCTCAAGAAAAATGTTTTATTTTAATTTGGTTAATAGTTGACCTTTCTCTCTCAAATGTTTAATTTTGTATTCAGTTTGATTCACAATATTCATGAATCCAGATTTAGAAAATTTATATTGAATATTTAAAATTATATTTCATTTAGGGGTTTTGAAGAAATATTTCAATTTCTCATCATTCTTTCCTTTTGTATTTATCAAGATGAATATCTGTCTATCCATTAATAACATCTAAAACACAAGTGTGATATTTAGTTATAATCAAATTTTTTGGAGACAACAATAGAAACAAAATAACAATTCCATTCCTAAAACAAGATCAAAGAAAAAGTTACAGTCTAGACCTATCATTGGCCAGGTTGACACAATTGGTCTAAAAATCATTTTCTAATCATCATCTAAACTGATCTCTACAAGAAATACAGTGGTACCTCGGTATATGTCTGCTTTAGAATACGTCCAATTCGGAATACGTCCTGCTTGGACGAAACAAATTTTGCTCGGTATACGACTTAATTCAATTATATGTGCCATCTATGAACAAGTAGCACTATCGGTGTACTAGACCAGACTAGACGTTTGCGGTGCCACAGTTTATAACTTCGTTAAATTTTTTCTGATTTTAAATTTTAAGTAAAATTTTATTATTTTTATTAATCATGAATTGCAAAAAGGCAAGTGAAAAGCAACAGAAAACTAAAAAAATGACTAGAATCACAATGGAACTGAAAAAAGAGATTGTTGAGGAATATGAAGGTGGTGTGCATGTTCAAGATTTAACTGTTGCATACTGTATTCCAAGAACGACGATATCGACAATCGTGAAAAATAAAGACATTATTAAATCTGCTAACATTGCGGAAAGAGTTAAATCAATTTCTAAACAGAGATCAAAGACGTTAGATTATGTTGAGAAATTGCTTTTGCTTTGGATATCTGAAAAACAGTGTGCTGGCAACATCGTATCGGAAGCAATTATTTGCGAGAAAGCTAAAAAGATACATGCTGATCTCATGAAAAATCAAGCAGGAACTAGCCAGGAAAGTGAGGTGTTTAAAGCCAGCCATTTTTTTTCATGAGAACGGATTAATCATTTTTACATTACTTCTTATGGGAAAGGTTGGTTTGGTATACGTCTTATTCGGTATAAGTCCAAACATTAGGAACGGATTAAGGTCGTATACCAAGGTTCCACTGTATTGATTTTGTGATGCAGTTCTTTGTGATCTGTGGTTTTAATAAGTTTTAAATTAAACCATGATTGAGATCTAGAATCTCTGCAATCCACCCTATGATGTCTAAAAGCTTGAATCTAAACTATAATGCTTAAATCAGTCTTAATAAAAATGAGAGGCTATAAATAAATAACTAAATGCTTACTGAAATTATTAAATAAAAATAAAACAAACACCTTTCTCTATTCCAGCACACTTTTAATGCGTTGAAAAACGTTTTCGATCGTTCTAATCGATCATCATCAGTTCAAAATTCGAACTCTAGTTGAAATACACAAGGCATATACGACCGCGCAGTGCATCAACTACAGAGACGCCGAAAGTTTATCAACAGCCTGGAAGTCCTTTTATGATAACATAGATTAAATATCGCAACCGCCTAGGCGGCATTTTTATAATATTAATTGATATATAATATTTTAATTACTTAGGTTTAAACCATACGTTTTATAAATACGCGCATGCGCTTTAGCGTTAAGTCGTAAATAAGCGATGCAAAAGAATTTTTTCGTATTTTTGAATACTTTGTTCGCTGTAGAGTTCAAATTTTGAACTGATGATGATCGATTAAAACGATCGAAAATGTTTTTCAATGCATTAAAAGTGTGCTGGAATAGAGAAAGGTGTTTGTTTTATTTTTAATGAGAGGCTATTTTAATAGAGTTTATAACTGATATAAAGATACTAAATAGCATATAGCATAGTGTAATTTTTATATACAAAATGAGATTTTATAATCAATTTAAATGTCATAAAATATGTAATAATCCTAGTAGTCTAGAATTAAATTAGGAATAATCTAAACAGTAATAGTCTAAACTTTATATGTTGAAAAATTTTATCTCATCTTTAAATTAGTTTATATTAATAAATTTTATATTTATATGGTTATTACTCTGTCATGTATTTGATTAATGTCAATTTTATATTATAGGTATATTACAAACATAATGGGCAGGAAATTGGTCCACATTCAAAGCGTGATACTTTTACATTAATAGTAACAGATCGAGCATTTCCACGGCTAATCAGTCATCCCAGTCATAAAGTACTTGTCACCATATTGCCAACGAATTCTCATATACCTCAAGTTTCTTTCAGAAAAAGCATTCTTGTAGAAGAAGGACAAACAGCTCCAATTTCAGAAGATATATTAACAACAAGAGATGATGATACTTTACCTTCATTATTACAGTATGTAATATTTCAACAACCACAATATGGATTGATTGAAAATTTGAGACGTCAGTCTGGATATGAAAGAAATAATAAAGGAAAGAGTGTTGATACTTTTACTCAACAAGATATAAAAGATGGCTATGTTAATTATGTTCAATCAAAACACAGGTTTGTAAAATAAATATGTGAATTAAATGACTTTATTGGTTTGTTTTATAATTAAAAATGAAATTAATAAATACTTACCTTTTTCTAGGAAAATTGAACCCGAATCAGATGAGTTTAGAGTTTATGTAACAGATGGAATACATAACTCAAGTGCAGTATTGATATTTGTAAATATAATTTTAAGAAATGATGAAGAACCACAAGTTTCTGCAAATAATATAACTGTGAAAGAAGCTGGTTTCCATCCAATTAATAGTGAAGTATTATCTGTGACTGATCATGATTACCCTAGTGATATTCTTTCTGTGCATCTAAAAACATTACCTTCATTTGGGTCACTTAAACAAAGAATTCAACATAGAATAAATGGTCCTACTGTGGAATTAGAATTTACAGAATTAACTATTGATAGATTTCTTCAAAATGTTATTTATCAACATGATGGTTCTGAAAATTTTAATGACCACTTTACATTAATTATTAGTGATGGTGTTCATAATATTGCTCAGACAATATTTGTTAACATTATTCCAATAAATGATGAATATCCAAAACTTGTTAAAAACATCAGAGCATATGTGAAACCAGGTGAAAGTGTTTTTCTTTCAAGTGCCTTGCTATTAGCACAAGATGAGGATTCTTTACCTAAAGATATTGTGTATATTATACTATCACCACCTACATTAGGAAAACTTCAGAGAAGAGATTCACTTAATGGAACTTGGAATGATTTAACATATCCAATGCATTTTACACAATTAGATGCAAATTTGAATCTAATTAGGTAATTTAATTACTTTATTAAAAAATTGAATTTCAAGGCATAGTATTAAAATTTTTCAATTATGATATTTTTCAGATATCAGCATTCAGATTTTGCAAATCCTGAGAATGAAGATTCATTTTTATTCCTAATATCAGATAAAATCCATAATAGTTCTATAAATATTTTTCAGATTGGCATAAAAATGAAAAATTTTACTTTTCAAATTATTAGTAAAACTCCCTCACTTCAGGCTGGAACATATATAATGATTACTTCTAGTTTTCTGACAGTGACAGGAAATAATTATAATTTTGAAAATGTTACTTTTCATTTAACTCAACATCCAAAATATGGCCAGTTAGAGTTGATTAGTCATCCGGGAAAAGCAATTAAACAGTTTCACTTATTTGATATTATTGGAAGACGCTTATTGTATAATCAAACTAAAAACGTTTTTAATAATTTAACTTTTAGTAATATCAGAAATATTTCTGATAATTTTACTTTTGTAGTTGACAATGGAAATTTTAAGACTAACAGTATATTCAATATAATTATTAATTTTCCTCAGTCTGATAAATATAACTTTCCAATTTTGCATTCTGTGCATTCTCTGAATGTAGTAGGAACTTCATCAGTAATAAATAGAGAAAATCTCAATGCATCTGATTTAAAATTTTCTCAAGATAAAGTAATATTCATGATTGTTGAAGAACCTAAATATGGCACTATTCTGAAAGAAAATAAAAAAGTAACAAACTTTACACAAGAGGACATCAATAGAGGAAAGATTTCATACCATCACAGAGATAACAGATCTACATTTGACAGTCTAGCCTTTGAAGTTACGAATGAAGAAGAAAAAGGATACATCTTGGATGGAAAGCTGCAGACAAAAGCGACAAAGTGCGTGGTGTTTCCTGACATTGCATGTCTTGGTGCTGATATTTCAGGTAGTTTATAATAAGAATTTTGTTCTCATTGAAGTTGGTAAATGCAATTCAAATAGAAATCTAAATTTTGAGGTTGGTGCATTATGTAATACAGAATAAATATTAAGTTAATACACATTACAAAAATGTATTAAAATTCTTAAAATTTTATTTGATTTAAAAATTATATATAATAAATATTTTTTGACTGCTAGTACATTTTTAGGCATTTTAGTCTATATAGCAAGAAAAAAATACAAGCAAAAAGTAAATATTTCTTGTGTATGTTGAGAACAAAGAAGAGAAGAGTTCACTTCTCTATTTTATTTTTATATATTTACATTTATTATTTTAAACAGTTGGCTGACAGCATCTCATTTTATTAATAATAAATTATTTGAGTAATTAGTTTATTATGTAATATTTAAATACATAATCATATTGAAATTTAAATTTGTTCAATAATTAATTATAATATAATAGTTTGGTTTATTAATATTATACACAAAGTAAAGTGTTAAACATAAATATTAGAAAAAATGCAATATTTAGCAACAAAGAAACATTTTAACAATATTTTATGGGAACTTAGTATTAAAGTGCAAATACTCACTTTAAAAACTATTGCAGTAATATTTCTTTATTCTAATGTTTTCAATCATCTTCAATGATCTTCTTTGTTAGAATAAATAAATATTTCTGCATTAAATGGTTTTTAGAGTGGGTATTTGTACAACCAGTGTATGTATAAAGTAATTTTATCTAGTTATTTAAGTTTTTTTAGTTTAAATCAGATGAAAAGAATTTTCTGGAGAATGATGTTTTAATTTTAAAGTTTAAATAACAACAAGATATTAAAAAAATTTAATTACCTTTCTTTTTTAACATATTGCTGTTAAATCTTGCTGGAACATCATTCTTTAGAAAATTCTTTTTGTTTGATTTAAACTAATTAAACCAAAATAGCTATATAATATAATATATATATAATAACTTTATGTGTACTTTTGCATGTTCTTAGTTATTTTTTTCATTAAAATATTGCTATTGTTACTAAAATTGTGTTTATTATAATTTTTGCAATGTGCAGGAAGATCTTTCTTTAGTTAATCATAAATATTAGAATAATATAAATGAAATTAGATCTATTAGATGTTATTTTCTTATTTTTAATATACAATTGAAGTTGCCAAATTATAATATAGACATAGCTTTAATTTTGATCAAAGTTTCAGGCTCATTTAGTTTTTAACGTCTATTGATAGGTAATGTGTTAAATCATAAAGATAGAATAGCATCAAGTATGTACAAAAACATTTTTATTTAGGATTAGATATGTTTAGAGAAGGGAGAGGCTATGATTTCCAGTATACTCTGACTATGAATTATTGTCATATTTGTATGTCCTTATGTAGCATTCAGTTATGATCATATTGAATATTGCATATTTCTACAATTCAATATCATCTGTAAGTAAAAACTGTTTTTTAGAGAACAGATATATGTCTACAATTCTCTAATTGGCCTTTTGTTAATATAATGTGTTGTAATTTGAATAATTAATTATCAGATATATTAATAATAGCATTGAAAATCTTCAGATTTAAATTGGAAATTAAATTAATTAATGATTTTGGTTATAGACAGATATGGTTTAATTGATTAATAACTGTAATAATTAAGACATTTTTTTACATTTAAAAAACATATGTTTACTACAGAATTTGCATTCCTGACTTTCATTTAATAAACAAACATATTGTCATTCACACTATCTAGACTCTGATAAGAAGTTGTATTTTTGATTAAAATATAACCATAAGTTAATATTTATCTAGATCAATTACTAAAGTTTATATGATGCAGCTGATAGCATGTTTACATGTTAGACAAGAGATGCAAGTTCAAATTTCACTCTGAAAAAAGTTTTTCAGAAGCATCAAAACTTAATTAAACTGTTTCAAATACAGTAATTGTTAAAGTTGTAAGTTGAAGTGATATGTCTATAACTGTAATCAAAATTTGTAGGTTGTGAATTAATTTAATTATTTCAATTCTAATTCAGAGGGTTTTTGCTGTTGATGTTATTTATCATAATTAATATATGTACACATTTGGTGTTATCAAAACTGTATAACCTCTATAGTTCAAAGAGCCTATGATAAGAAATACAACTTCATTTTAATTAGGCAACTTCATTTTTTTACAGAATTTATTTTAAATAATGAACAAATTGTTAAATGATTTTTTTTATTTGCATTTTTCTATAAATGGTATTTCAAATAACAAATCTTTTAAAAATAAACTCATTAAATTAAACTGCATTTTAAAAATTAAAAAGTTTATTTTTATANAAAACAAAAATAAGTGAAAAGTCTAAAAACAATAATAAAATATTCAAAATTAATATATAAATCAATTAGTGAGACTTGAAACCAAAAACTAACCATTATTAGATTAACATTTAAAAATCTTAGAAACAGGTCCTTTATAAAGATTTGAAGTGTTTGAATTATTTACACAATTGTTGTTAAGAAACTTTGATGTCCTAATACAATTGGCTTTTGAAAAGCAATGTGTCATTAACAATGCACATTATTTAAAGGATAATAAAAATATATTTCAAACAACTTATTTATCATATATCAGAAATACAATAAATGTATACAGTAGACTTTCCCATATCTGGACTGATCAAAGGCAACCAAAAATTTTCAAACATATTGTACACTACTCTAAATCTTACCTTTCCACACTGCAGTGTGTATAATTTTAAATTTTTTTCAATTAAGGTTGCATTGATATTCATAGAAGAGTACAATTCCTCAACCACCACTGATGTCATAATGATAAGGTATTGGCATAGTATAGCAAATCATCAGTGAATTGAGAAGAACAAAACAAACAACTTTAACGTGATACTTTCAAAATTAATTGTATTTGTCAAAAATAAATGTCAAAGTGAAAACAAACATTTCTTATACATACATTAGGCATATACTGTATGTTACTGTTGTTTAAAAATTATCACACTCCCTTATCTGGTTTTTTCAAATATCTGGATCACTCTTGCTGACATTAGTTTGGATATGGGAGAGTCTACTGTACAACTAAGAATTGTACAAAGTGCATAAATATTACTTTGATGTTAGGATATTTCATAGTGTGATTTCTTTGCTTTTGAGCTAGTCCTTACAGCCATGTCATTGATTACATTGTAGGATAGAGACATATATTTGAAGAAGCTTGAAATGTACAATATTATGTAGGCATCATCCCATACCAGTTTTATTAGCTTGGCCTAATTTAGGTTGATTTTAACTTCATTATTCATAGCATAAGCTGCTAATGTGGTGGTTGATTGTTTTTTCTTTATTGTCACCTTGTATTCTTTCAATCCCACTGTTAAGGAGTGTGCAGTTACTCCTATGTATTCTGTGATGTTGTATCTATGGTCTTTGAATGGGATGCTGTAGATTATCAGAAAGTGTTTGAGGTCTGAGAATTCTATCCAATCACATGTAAATTAGCTTCAGCTATTTATTTGTATATTTCTTAGACCATGGATATATGTAACTGTTTTCAGCTTCCTATCCATATTATGTGATGTGTTGGTGGGTATGTCTTCCTGTTTTTTGATTAATCCTGTTATCAGTTTGGCAGAACAACCATGCTTAATTGCAATTTTCTTGATGTATTTAAATTCCATAGTTCTGTCAACCACACAATGTGCTATTGCTCTTCTGATAAGTGTAGTGAAGGCTGAGATTTTGAATGCTTAAGGATCCCAGGATTCTGTAGTATGAAAGTGGGTGGTAGAAGAGTTATCTATAGATCCTGGTGTGGATCTATTCATTATATCTAGTGAGTTGGACATCCATGAAATGTGTTGTACTATTATTTTCTTATTCAATCTTAAGGTATAGGCCATGTGGATTATCATTGATATCTTTTATGAAGTTCTGGGGATCAGGTTTTTGGTGACAGATGCAAGGTATGTGGACAATGTCCTGATAATCTAGCCTGACCTCCAGAAGGTTTTTAAAATAAAGTATTTAATAATTATTTATATGTTATTACTTTTTTTCTTGGAAGAATGGACATATTTATCAGACCCAGGTTATCTTCAAGTTTGCCAAACATTACTCTTTTGGAACAAATGGAATATTTTGGAACGGGTAAATCTGGATTCATCTTAACTACAGATTCACTCAAGCCAAACAATAATACCAATATTGGAAAAGATTTAATTTACACAATTCACAAACCACCACAATATGGTTATTTAGTTTATAGAGAAACTGGTGAAATTGTCAGTGGTGCTATTACACAACAAGATATCAATGATCATCGTATAACATTTGTAATCAATGGAGAAAATCAAGAAATAACAAATGATAGTATGACTTTCAGAATTGTTGATGAAAATGGAAATCTAGTAGCTGAACAAAGGTAAGTTTATATATTGCTACACATAATTTCACAAAAATAAAACAATCTCTTTCCAGTTAGATTAACAGTCTCATTTTCGCATTCCTCTGACCAAGTAACACAAACTTAACATGAGTTAGATTTGGAAGAGCAAGATAGTGACATAAAATCATTATAAATATATGTATTCATAAAATTATTTGATATAAAAAATGCTAATCTGAATTCAGTCATCTTCTTCATATTACTATCTATACACTAAACTCTGATAAAAATCATGATAAACTGAAGGAATGACATTTTATCACAAAGTGACTCCAAATCTTAAGTACTTGGCTTTTGAAACAGTCAGATCTTCAATACAGGCTTTTTCTAATGTGCCAACAACCACTATTGATGCTCTTCAACTTCATGACTTGTAAAGTAGATTTATACTTTGAAAATATTCATTGTAGTTATACTTGAATGAGCCACAGCTGCTCTTTTTTCATCAACACACTAATGTTGGACCACCTAACTTTTTCACTATTTTCAGCCTTTGTCTAATTCTCTGATGTTGCTAATGCCTTCTTTAAATCATAAAAGTTGTTTTGCAACATCTCATAGACCTTGTACCATTTTCCATCCTGCTTGGCTATACACAATGATACAAGGTCCAGAGAGTTTGATACAATCCAGAGGATTTGTGATTTTGACCTTGAAACTCTGGATTTTTAGTTTTTCTCTCCCAATCTCCCTTTCTGATTGGTCCAACTTTCCTTGTTTTGCATCCCAATTGATCTCCCCCCTGTCTCCAGGTGAAAATTGAGATTGGTTTGGGTCACAAGAAGGGTCCATTTAGGAGGGTCTACCCAACACCATCCCTTGACTCTGACAAGGAAATGTTGATGGAACTAAGAAACCTGCACTCATATTTTAGCCCATTGTTTCCTTTCCTCTAACACTTTAGAATTTTAATGATCCAGCGTGATGTCTCCTGGCTGCTAAATCTTTTTTCCTACCTCTATTTTACTTTACTTCAATCTATTGTTTACAAGTGCCAATTTCAAAATTCTTTCTCTCCAGTTTGACACAATCTATTACCTAACATGTATAGGAGTCACAACTAGGACTCACTTGTTTATCATCACGTCACATTTGTTTTTATAACAGAATATTTCTCTTACACAAGTTTGTTTTAGTTTTCAACAAATTTTTCTTTTGAAATTTTTTTCACAAATAATACAACTTTGAGCTGTCTGGAACTTCACAAAAGATACAGTACATAAAGAAGATGAAGTGGTTACAGTTTTGCCCATCCAGTTATCAGAGAAGAAGGAAAATTTCCTGTTTCTTTCCATACTATGCTTCATAAGAAACTTATATATACAGCTGGCCACTTTAATACTGTCTCATCTTCTAATTCCTTTATTTCATATATAACATTTCCCTTTGCATTGTCCATCATTATAAATGGTGAGATTATAGGTGCTTAGTTTTCTCTTGTAGTAAACTGAAGATACATCATAATACGGTGTAGTCAGCATATGTTGAAGATCAAAACATGCACACAAAAAAATGTTGCTACCTTCTGTTTATTTTATTTTACTTTTTGTTATCATTTCTATTTTCAGCATAGGCCCTTACTTTGTTTTGATTGTGTTCTGCCATAATTTCTCCTAAGTCAACCTTTTCTTTTTCATTATCAGCATTAGCATACATCTCACAGACCTCACAAGCATCTTTTTGCAGCTTAAAAAGCCTAAGTTATATTCCTCATTAAACACTTTATCATATTTACAGGCTGATGCAGTCACTTCACCTACTAAGAAAGTTAATTACATCATACCATAACATTATACTACATCATTATTTGGCTTGAGGTGCAATGTTTTAATGCCATAAGACAGAATACAAGAGTTAAAACCAATGTTTTAACTCTTGTATCTGAGTAAATAGTTAAAACATTGATTACATTGATTTTAATATGTTACATTGTAACATTACACTAGAACTTCACCTTCTTATTTACATTTTTCAACATACAACCTATGTATCTTTTGACAATTAAGAGTACTGTCCAAATATTCATTTGAGCTATCTTTTCTAATGTAATGAGATTTCATCTTTTTAAATGCTTTGATGTGAGCCCTAATGTGAAATTCTGGACAGGTCTGAATCTCCACTAAAATTTGCATTAAAATTATTATTTTGTTAAAGAGAGAAAATAAACAGAGGAAAGAAAAAGTTATTTGTTTAAAAGTCATGATAACATCATAAACAACAGAAATGTGAGTCCTAGTATCAGCCATCTCCAGTTGGAAGATCAGATTCTCTTCCAGTTTGACCTCTTCCATGATCCAAGTTGGAATCTTGTTACATTAGTAACAGGCAAGCGACCACTTGGAGAGGGAAGATAAGGGAGAATGACTATTCAGAGTGGGCAATAGAGGGTAAAACTTTATTTAATCCTGGTCTTCAAGGACCCAAGATGCACTACCTGTAAGTGTCATCAACACTCGACCTGTAAGTGTCCAGGCAAGCAGCAGCATCAACAGAGAGCATTGACAACATTGATGATGTTTGGTCATTTGGTCATCATCATAATTGTCAATGATATTGTTTTTCTCTTAGTGTCATCATCTCCCTCGCCCAGTGTCATTGCCTTCCTTCCAAAGTTTCTACAGATTTAACCTGATCAAATCTATAACAACTCACCACTACCCTGGAGCTGCCCAACTATCAAACCTTACAGACTGAATCCAACTCAACCAGGAATATCAAGACATTTGTCTGTTACTCAAAGAATTTATCTATATTTAATGTAAGCAAAAGCTGTGCTTAATAAACAGTTTTGTAAAGGTACTTTGTATTCTCTGCCTCCTACACCACCATCTACATAAGTGAGTGCCCCTAGGTTATCCTGATGAGGGATTAATGGTTCACCACTAAAGGTTGGCTTATTCACACTAATATCTTGCAAAACATCTGAAATGCTACAATGATTATCATGTTTACACCTTTTTCTAGCACTCAATATACCTTCAGCATTTGTTTAGTTCAAAATTGTTTTGATTTTTTGATCATTAATGGCAAATGTATGCAGAAACATTGTTTTACACACTTTCACAACCTCATCACCCAGAATGAAAAAGTACTGCAATGTGCAACTATGCCTGAATTTGATACCATCAGATTTATTGAACAACCTTTTTCTGGAAGTTTTAGAAATCAGGCTACTAAGGTGATCTTGCTTTTGATCTGTGTTTTCTGTCATATAATGCTTCAGAGTCTACTTTGTTCAAATGATACTTTATCTTTGTACTTTCATGTAGCACTTACATTAATTTGGCAGAAAAACAAGTACAGGTAAAAAACAACTGGGTCCAAGATATGGTGTATGACTGTCCTTTTTGATAAATTTCTTTCTTAAAGTTTTCTTTCAACTCTGTTCCTGTCTCTTGCACTTCCTCCCCTTTTCTGTAACAACAATGAAAGTTCAATTGTTTTATTGTTACTTTCAAAATATACATTAAAACAACATAATTTTATTTTCCATCTGCATATATGTTGCTAAAGTACCATACTTAATTTTGTTTGCAGTTTCCACAACTGTTGGCTCTGCAGCTACTCTTTCAAAAACATTTTCTGACTGTAGGCTGACTGTTGTCCAACATTTTCTGTGTCCTGTGAACTGTTAATTGGAGATTTCCAAGCGTGATGTCTGTCTTTTTTCTGCAACACAATGAAATTCTTTCACTTTTTTATACAGTCCAGGCTAAATCTGTTAGATTGATATTAACTCAACAACATTATAACAGTTAAACTATCACATTCTAGCACTTTGAATATATCATGAAGTTATCATTGTCATAGTAAACTTATCCTTAATTTCCATGTCATTGTCAGTGTTTGATGGGTGGTATTCTGAAATGCTTTTTTCTGACAGGAATATCTTCTAGTGTGCCTGGCCTCTGTCATCATAATAATCTTCACCATATAGGCAGTGATAAAAATGATGAAATTAATACTCTCATTTAGTAAAGTAAAATGATAGTGATAACTAGCTAGCCAAACAAATTTTTTATTACAAAAAATAGTGTTTTATCTGCCACAATGATGTAATTCATATGATGTGGACAGTTTATTTTGCAAAGTTTACTCACTCTCTCATGTTGTACTTTCTGCAATGTTAACTGGACAATTAATTATGCCTTGGGATTCATTTTTTAACTGAACATCTTCATTTTAACTTGAGCATCTTTGTAACACTACAATAATAAAAGATGCAATAATAAAAAATAATATTTATTATTGTTAGTGCTAATGTAATAAATCAGGATTGAAGAGGCAAATTGCAAATTGAACAGATTTCTTTTCAGTTTGCCTCTTTATTACTGATAAAACTTCAACTCCACCTGTATGAACCCTGTTAATCAAATAGTCCCATAACCAGAAGTCATAAGGTGTGAGATTGGATAAATGAACAGAACATTACATTGGAAAAGACTGACTGATTGCCTTTTCAATGTGTTACACAATCTGTCTCTTGCAATGACTGTGGTGTGGGGTCTTGCACTGTCTTTCATAAACATGATATTACTCAAGCATTGTCTCTGCTGTAGTTTTTGGATGAAAAAAGTTTGCAGTGTGTTTTATATAGCACTGCTGTTATGATGCTGATACTGTGTTTTTACTTCAGACTTCTTTTCTTTCTTTTGTAAAATAAACAATCACATTATCAAAATCCATAATTTGTTATGATGAAAATGTTTGTGAAGGTTTCTCATAAAATTATTGGTTCACAAAATTAGAGAGAAACTTTTGAACTGTTTAGAATTTTTCAGTTCAAACAAGATGCTCATATTTTGAGATATCATGTAGTACATAATATTAATTAAAGGGGTGACATAAGAAGGGACAACAGCTGTGAGATTAGTTAGCCTGAGGATGCTATTCAACAGGCAAAAATGTTAGCACTTCCCAATTTTTTGCTGGTTATTTGGTTCTTTGTAGCTTTGTATTTTACACTAAAATTTTCATTACTGGGTGTTAAAGGTTTTGTTGAATGTGTTTAGTAATTTGTTTCAGTTATGGAGAAGATAATTTTACATTAATTTTAGGTTTAAGAAATTATAGGAATATATTAATGTAATAAACCAAAAAAATATTACAGTAATAAAAATAATACAATAAAATAGTAAATCATAATCAGCATAATAAATTAAAGCAAGAAAATAGACTGATATTATTATGAGTTTAATGATATATTCTAACTAGGTAATAAATATTTATCTGTGTCTTTATAATAGATGATAAATGCATGTTGATCTAAGCACTTATAAATTAATTTCAAATTAACAATTTGGACCATACATTTTTGATTTGTTATGATCAAATAATTTAAAATGAGTGATATGATATATTTTTACCTTCAGATATATGTATTTTTTAATTATTTCAGATTAAATTTCCACTGGGCAATTATTTATTTTGCATATCCAGAATATGCTGTGTGTGAAGATGTTGGAAGTATTGATATTGAAGTTCTGCGATCAGGTGATGTTTTACATTCCAGCTTTGTAACAGTTACTGCCATAGGTCAGTCAGCTGAAGAAGGTCTAGATTATTTATCTGGAAGAGCTAAATTAATTCAGTTTGATCCAGGTATTGCTAATTTTATCTTTTCATTTGTTTATAAATATTTAATTGTATGTAATTTGAATTAAAATCAATACAAATTTATACTTGATAAGATATAAGATGATAATGATTATCAACAATTACTATTGGTAAAATATTGCAATAATATATATAATTTGGAATATAATCATGGCTGCCCAGAGGATATTGGGGTCATAGAGCAAATTAAATTATGATATTAAAGTAAAGGAAATACAGGTAACCCCTGTATAACACGGCACTTCTATAGCACAGATTCACTCTAACACGGTTCAAGAATTGGTACCATCCCCCGTATAACACGGTACTTTTATAGCATGGATTCACTCTGACGCGGTTCGAGAATTGGGTAAAACCCTCGTACAACATAAAATGTAATAAATTTTTACATACTTAAGTAATAATAGTTCACGAAAATTATTATTAATATTTTCGTGAACTATTAGTATACTTAAGTATGTAAATTTTCTTTTCTCGCCTTCTGTCGATACACATGGTCCTTCTCGCAAACTTGTTTCAATGTTGCCAGATCTCGACACTTCTGCTTCTGATGTTGCCAGATGTTTTTCCTTTATTCCATACTTGCTTTATTCTTCATAAGTGCTTAGCACCGTATAAGGAAATTTGTAAAGATCTTTTAACTAGCAGCAAGCAATCTAAAATTACATACTTTTTGCAAAAGGTAAAACATGGATCTGAAGATAATGCAGAAAAATGCTCAGAGGATAAGGATAACTTGCCAAAAAGAAAACACTCTTGGTTAATAGTGCTTTTAGTGATGACGAAGAGAACATTGTTTAATTTATATTAATATGTATCACTTAAGAAATTTTTAATNTAATATAAATGAAATTAGATCTATTAGATGTTATTTTCTTATTTTTAATATACAATTGAAGTTGCCAAATTATAATATAGACATAGCTTTAATTTTGATCAAAGTTTCAGGCTCATTTAGTTTTTAACGTCTATTGATAGGTAATGTGTTAAATCATAAAGATAGAATAGCATCAAGTATGTACAAAAACATTTTTATTTAGGATTAGATATGTTTAGAGAAGGGAGAGGCTATGATTTCCAGTATACTCTGACTATGAATTATTGTCATATTTGTATGTCCTTATGTAGCATTCAGTTATGATCATATTGAATATTGCATATTTCTACAATTCAATATCATCTGTAAGTAAAAACTGTTTTTTAGAGAACAGATATATGTCTACAATTCTCTAATTGGCCTTTTGTTAATATAATGTGTTGTAATTTGAATAATTAATTATCAGATATATTAATAATAGCATTGAAAATCTTCAGATTTAAATTGGAAATTAAATTAATTAATGATTTTGGTTATAGACAGATATGGTTTAATTGATTAATAACTGTAATAATTAAGACATTTTTTTACATTTAAAAAACATATGTTTACTACAGAATTTGCATTCCTGACTTTCATTTAATAAACAAACATATTGTCATTCACACTATCTAGACTCTGATAAGAAGTTGTATTTTTGATTAAAATATAACCATAAGTTAATATTTATCTAGATCAATTACTAAAGTTTATATGATGCAGCTGATAGCATGTTTACATGTTAGACAAGAGATGCAAGTTCAAATTTCACTCTGAAAAAAGTTTTTCAGAAGCATCAAAACTTAATTAAACTGTTTCAAATACAGTAATTGTTAAAGTTGTAAGTTGAAGTGATATGTCTATAACTGTAATCAAAATTTGTAGGTTGTGAATTAATTTAATTATTTCAATTCTAATTCAGAGGGTTTTTGCTGTTGATGTTATTTATCATAATTAATATATGTACACATTTGGTGTTATCAAAACTGTATAACCTCTATAGTTCAAAGAGCCTATGATAAGAAATACAACTTCATTTTAATTAGGCAACTTCATTTTTTTACAGAATTTATTTTAAATAATGAACAAATTGTTAAATGATTTTTTTTATTTGCATTTTTCTATAAATGGTATTTCAAATAACAAATCTTTTAAAAATAAACTCATTAAATTAAACTGCATTTTAAAAATTAAAAAGTTTATTTTTATAACTTTATTATATCTGTGACCTTTCGGGTCGGCACCTCTTTGGTACCCTGTCAGGAGTGACACCACCGTGTTTCTCGAAACACGGAAACCGAGACGGCGATTACGTCACGCCGTCGCGCGAGCGGTTCCGTATGTGGTCAGACGGATTCTTAATGTCGATTCGAGAGACAACATTGGAAGTGACTCAGATACACTTAATTAACAAGGGTTTATTTACAAATCTATTGGATGAAGAATTTTCGCGGAGAGAGAGAGTGCACATACACTTCGCGGGATGATAAATACCTTTGTTAATAGATTCGGGTCTTGTTCGGATCTTGTTCGGATTATAACAGCTTCCGATGGGTTTAAGGTTTCTGATTCGTTATCCAGGCGATTCACTAACACACACACACACACACAGACAAGTTTATCCTATGGCGATTAATTCGGATTCCTTAATGGATGATAATTGAAGGGACGGCTTTCCTCTCCGAGGACTAAGGCAGCGACTAACTCTTTTCGGCCGTCTCTGATGATACTCACGGACGATTTCGGCCGTGCAGAGGTTAATAGTTCACGAGAAAGCGTCATGTTGCTTTCGAGAAAATGTAACGGGAGACTTTCTCAGGTAGCTAAGAACAACAATTGTTGCGTAATTCGCGAAACGTTATTATTAAAGA